AAAATAGTGACGAGATTCGTATATCAATTCAACATCAAGACTTGTGCCTTTTACCATCTCGCAGCTCGTTACACATTTGTGGACGATTACGCAGCAACAATAACACTTTGTTAACGAATACTGATTTTGTTAATAATGCCATTTGTCACATGTTTGAAGAAATTAGGTATGAGCTGAATGCTATAGAAATAGATAAATGTAAGAACGTTAGTCTCACAACCGTTATGAAGAACTGGTTATCTCTCACTCCAAGTCAAACCTTGATTGCCGAAAATGCCGGATGGATAAATACCTTAGAACAAGAGGACCGTAAAATAACTAATGCGAATGGCGACTTTGACATTTTGATTCCTCTGAGCTTCATACTTGGATTCGCTGAGGATTATTGCAAAGTGCTAGTGAATATGAAACATGAATTAATTCTCGTAAGATCGAGTAGTGATTTAAATGCAGTTTATCAAACGAAGAAGACCGTGGCCAACGTTGAAGCTTACGAATAATTCAAGATTAATGTAACACGTCTCGAATGGCTTATGCCCTATGTGACTGCATCGAATGCAAAGAAAATACGTCTACTCGACTTTCTAAAAAGCGAACGAAGTATTTCAATGAGTTTTCGTAGTTGGGAACTGTACGAATATCCAGCGCTGTCTGCAAACACAAATCACGTCTGGACAGTTAAAACGACAAATCAGTTGGAGAAACCACGCTACGTCATCTTAGCCTTCCAAATCAATCGAAAAAATGAACTAAACTCTAACTCTAGTATATTTGATCATTGTAACATCAGAAATGTAAAACTGTACCTCAACTATCAGTGCTATCCATACGGTAATCTCAACATTGATTTCAGTAAAAACCAGTACGCAATGTTGTACGATATGTATGCCAATTTTTAAAACGTATACTACGGTAAGGATACAGAACCGATGCTCAAAAAACTCGAATATAAAAATTACATGCCACTCGTAGTGATTGATTGTTCGAAACAAAACGAGTCATTAAAGACTGCTCCAGTAGATGTGCGCTTGGAGTTCGAAACCAGAGAAAATATTCCCGAAGGAACTACAGCGTATTGTCTTATTCTACACGATCGCATCGTTTAGTATAATCCGATAAATGGAGATGTGAAGAAACTTATTTAGAAGAGGGGGAAAGGGTATTAAAGAATTGACTCTTTCCATAAGCAGCTCAGTAGTAGCTTTCTATCGCAATGGAGTACGTAGTGGATATGCAAGGCTTCATGATGCCTGGCAAAACTTATGCCGTGAAAGAGTTAGCAATACTCCCACTTAACTACAACGAAGAACCGCTCGTACGCTTGTTCAAACCTCCCTTTCCATGGCGAAGACTAACGGAGAAATATAAGCGAGAAAATCTCTGGTTAGAACTCTACTATCATGGATTAACATGGAAATACTACTGGAAATACCTACTACATTTGGAAATACTTTGTTTCCATGTTGATGATTCTTTGTTCTTCTTTTCGTCCGGGTCTTCCTGTGGAAGACGAGAGTACTTTACTTTAGAGTAGCGATCCATTTTATTGGAATGCTGGTTGATGAAAGATTCGATAATTTTTACACCGTGCTATTTATAGTAGCTTACAACCACGAAGTCTACAAATAAAAGAAATTAAGCAGGTACTTGCACGTTTTTTCTATTAAACCATCTTCGGTAGATGAGACACGCATGCACGCACACACACGCGCGCCCGCGCGCACACATCGAACATAAGAAAAAAAAATTATTATTCGTTATATACCAATTATGATTAGTATATTTATTAAAATTTATTATCATTTGTATGTATTAGCGCTTGGGCCCTCCCCAGCAGCAGCAGTCGCCGGCGCCGCCACCACCGCCGCCCCCCCACATATCAATCGTGTAGCTAGTATACACAATACGGTATTGCCCGTGGTAACAGTGACTGTAGCTCTAGCGGTAGAGCATCGGCCTGCGGATCCGGAGGACGCGCGTTCGATCCCCCGATCCGTCCGTTTTTTTTGAGATAAATCTAAAAATTTTTAACACACGCTCGCACACACGCGCGCGCACACACACACACAATAAAAAAATCAAAACGCGTAACACAGAACGCGCGCGCAGTGCATAGGAATCAAATTAGTGGGAGAGGGGGAAGTGCAGAGAACGCACGCCACATCAGATCAAGCCACATCAGATCAACTCAGTAGGGGAGGGGGAGTGCGTAGAACGCACCGGTATAACTTAGTAGGAGGGGAGGGAGCCGACAGCGCACGGGCCGATAGGGTGGAGGGGGGAGGTGAGGTGAACATGCACACGCTTCAACGCAGTAAGCTGATACCCCTCTGGTTTACCTACTCAACTGATTGATTGATATTTTAAATAAACTACCTCATGAGGCTGTAAGACAAACCAGCGAAACATTGTCAAAAATAAATTGAGTTCAGATATTTTTAGATTATAGTATTTAGGTATCACTCTCCTATTTCTTTGCTTCATATAATTTTGAAAGATATTTTTTGACTCAATACACGTTTGAAGTCTTATTGGCGAAATTCCAATAAACTTAAGAGAAACATGAACTTGCGGAAACTTAGAAGGTACGAAATCATTTTTATACAGGTCTACTTGAAACATGTTTTCCTTAAACAATGGTTAGCCTTACAAATTGCTCATTCTTAAAGATTGCTTAGTCATTCAACTCATGAGACATTTATTTTTGAAAGACAAAATAGCCTAAGTCAATATCTCCTTTCGCAAAGAGAATATTATAACATAAGTTTTGCTAAAAATTTTTTATTAAGCTGAAAATTTTACGGACTTCGTGTATTTTTGAATAAAATGATTATATTCAATCATTGAGAAAATAGAGAACATGCAAATCTCTTAACCGCAACCTGATGGCTGCAAATATATTGTTTTATTGAAAAATAGCATATATTAATACATGTATATTTAAAGAGTATATATGAATTGGGTAAACTGAATAATATTTATTAAGGTTAATGTGGCTGTTCAATCAATTTATAGTTAAAAGCAGAAAGTTATCCTTCGATAAAATTTCGTCTCTATACTGAAGAAAGTCTCTAACCAAGTTTTAGTAGGAGTAATCATGACACTCTATCTTTATTGACGAGGAAATCGAGTATCATGCATGATAACTCAGTTTAGCACATCACCACAATTCTGCAGTCCACCAAACGCGTAGTCGCAATAACAATCTTCATTCTACTTTTATTTTTCTTCCGTGAATAATTCAAATCTCTACAATCAACCTCTCTTTTTTGTCTTTTGATATCGAAAAACGAAAGGGACACGTTCATCTGATCGCAAAAAAGTAAAAACAGCTATTCCTTGACATCGCGAATTCTCTCCTCGCGTTTCCTGTTTTGACTAATCAGCGTGCATGATCACTCTTCTACGACGCGAATGTACCTATCTCTCTTTCTCCGCGTCTCGTTCACATCTATTAAGCATACTTGCTCACACGGTGCCAAATCATAGAAGTACGTAGCTGGCATCATACAAAATAATAATTATAAAATATTGAATATGTCTATGTGCGTATGCACGCCCCACTAACGTCACCATTGCCGTCCTCCTCCATGCGCTGTGGCACACACTCTCTCATGCTTCAGCTTCTGTAGCAGCAGCAGTGACACCAATACATAAGTTTCTTAGATTATACTTTTTTGTTAAATAAATTAGAATATTATTATTCGAAAGTGAAGCCTATCTGTGTCCATTTATTTTCCAATCACCATTCCAAAATAAAATAATAATAATTATTAAATCATAGGAAAAGAGATAGACATAACGAATTAGCTATCTTACTCGTTATAGATTGGATGTCCCCTTCTTAGTAAAATCTTGCACGGTTTTTTTAGGACTAAGTTCTAGAATTCAGTATTCATACTATGTTCATCACTTGCACGAATTTCCTGCGTAAACTTAGTACATAGATTTAACATCCTGGGAACCTCCAGATTCAACTCAAACATTTCATCTTTTTACTAATTATGGCCAACGTTGTTGCATTGTAGAAAATGTTCCGCACATATATTTGTAGAAAAATTTACACAAAATCTAAAGTCTGATGGGCCTTATTACAAGCCAATTAAGCCATACAAGAGAAAGAGAGAGACTCTTACACTGACTAAACTAGGGATTCGGGGGATGGAAACTGTCTTGCTCTTTGCGACCATGTGGGCTGCGCTAACCTATTTCAAGTGAACCGAAACATAAATTTAATAATATTAATTGAGAATATACTTGTTGAAAGATTTAAATATTAATAGACAAAATAAAATAATAATATACAAATTAAAATAATTTTAACCATAAAAAAATATAATAATCAGAATATTTAAATGAATGCTTAGAGGTTATCGTGATACTATTGTAATCTATTCATATTGATTCAACCTTATAAATTTTCAACCGTTAATATCTTGTTCGAGCTAATGCGTTAAATCGGAAAATATCTTATAGAAAATAGTGTGTAATGATAAAAATTTAACACTAAACCTACCAGAGCGGTCAAATGACTGCTCCTAAAGCCCGAAAAATAAATGTTTTTTAATTATTATATGATAATTATTTTGTGTATATTGTTTATGATAAATTCTGTATTTAATACAATCAACTGGAAAAGATTAAATGTTTTTTTCAAAAGCCGTCATTTGACCGCCATTCAGTAGAAACAGGCATATATGATATGTCGGTAGGTTTAAGTGTTAATAATATTCAATCATATTCCATTGAATTTATTAAATTAAGTATATTAAAATAAAAACTTGTAGGTTAAAAAAATAAAATAATATAAAATTGGAATTCAAAATATAGAGTAGAATAGCTTACATCAAGTTAGATGAAATAAAAATAAGTAAATAAACAGGAATAAATGAATTACATTCTTAGTAAGAATGAATAAAATACCTTATTACAAAAGATAACTACTGATAACATGTATTTTTATAGTATCTTATCTACAGCTGTAAGTGTGTTGAAATAAACTTGCTTACAGTTTCGTTTCTGAACATTATTATATGAAAAATGTTTCGAGTAGGTTCAAAAAATTTATGTTTATATTATTGTAACACATCGTTACAATTATTCCAATTTATACGTAATAAATATGACTTTCTACATGAGCTTGGAATTGAAAATGAAAATCCTGGATATTTTGATGGAAAATGGGGTGGTACTGGAAAAGTAAGTGATATTAACTAAAGGAATTTTTGAGCCTCAAGTTTATGCGTTAATAATTATAGCATAAGAGTAATTTAAGCATATGAATTGCCATAATTTTTGGATTAAGGATTTTAAGTGAAAACTACAAAAATATTGATCGATTTATATTATTTATTAAAAATATTTCAGTATCAAGAACAGAAATATTATGAAATAAAAATATGAATAAAAACACAAATACTATATATTTCAAATCAATTTATTACTTCACTATACATACAAAATATTTTATATTTGAAACCTTCATGAAAAAGTTGTGAACGATCTTCCTAAGTTGACTCGGATTAATACTTTATCAAACCGTTTATTTGTTATAAACTGAATCATGAATAATACTTCCACAAATCATGAAAAAATAATTTAGAAAATTGGTGGAAGTTCGTTTCAGTAAATCAAATAAGATATAAAGGTATTAGAATTGTTTCGATTAAATCTAAAAATAGTTTTCTTATGTAAATATTACAACCGTTAAAATAAATGTCTAATAGGCTTGATGTTTTAGAATTGGAGATAATTGACTGTGAAATTTATAGTCTTTAACACAAATAAAACTATAAATGAGGTGGATAACATATTTATACGAAATCTTGGCGAATAATTTATTTAAATTGTTAATAAAAAAGTATCACTTTCAAAGGTGCTTTAAAATTTAAAATAATTTTCAAAAATTATACACTCGACAGGGTAACTAGCATCTGAATATAACCTTAAACTTTTCACAATCATTTACTCAATTTAAAGATTAATATAGACATAGTTTAGAAACATATAATCTGTCTCGACGAAATAAAATTAATGATACATATTCTAACAAAATATAACGAAATTTGGTAGATATTGTTTTTTCAAATCAAATTCTTAAAATTTTAAAAATCACAAATGTCAATAAAACCTACGACGAAAATCTTTGGTTTATCATATGATTGTGTATGTGTTCAAATAATACAACAATGTTCATGCGATATTAATTTACATATATTTGTACATGGTATCAAATAATTCATAAAATTATATATCATTATAAATAAAACCAAAACATTTTTATATTTCAGAAAAACAGATTTCGACAAAGCTAACGACGAAATTGTGCAAATCGATTACGTACGCTTTCTACTATTACAAAAATATTCATCACATATTTGTTTGCGAGATTTGTAATTTTCACTATTATAGCACAATATTAGTTATCGTTAGTCAGCTTAAATGAAATGATATTGTCTTCAATTTTATCATTTAATCTATCATTTTTTAAAGCTTTATATTAATCAACAGTTAACAAGTATATTTTCATATGAAAAAAATCAAAAATTAAATATCTTCATTTTTTCATATACTTAACCTGTAATTATATATGCAAATATCCGTCTCTTTTTTCTCGCTATCTTTTTAATGTTTAAACTATCTAGAACATACGTAATTTCAACATATTATTTAATATTTTTTTTATATTTAGAATTGATGTATTAAAGTATTTTATATTCTAGAATTTTTATTTATATAAACTAGCGTTATCAAGGGCACGAAGCGTTCTTTTTCGTTTGATTTTTATTGGTAAATAAAAATTCAGTTAAATTTATATTTGTAGATTTAGTTGTAATTTCATATCTAATGACGTAACAGATGTTCAGGTATGTACTATAGGTAATAGGAAGTATACTGAGTTCATATAATCTTTTCCATTTTCTTTTGCGTCTGACAATTACATTTTCTTTATTGTCTAACAAATGTTTGTACTTCTTGTACGATATCCCTAATTCAATAAATATATTTTGTTGACAAAAATACTGGAAGTTTAGTTTTGGCTCATTTGGGAAAGTGCTTTTCACATTAAATTTCAACATTTTTACTTTCAGCTGTCAACGTTACTGTCATCCTTTACCTATTTATCCATTTCGTTTTTAACTCTATATTTATATTTATAAATGAAATTTTTTAAAAGTTACATTGTACCTTATTTCTTCAAATTACTTTTCAGTATTTCCTACAAAATATTAATTACTGATTATCTTTATTGATGATTATACATATTCGAAGCTAAACTTCATTAAATAAATATTCAGTAAATTCATATCCTACAAATAAATGTAATTAAAGTGTATTTAAATTATTCAACATAATATTTTAAGGTTAAACCGTTGGGTGAATATGAAGTTTATTTTTCTCCTAATTCCTACGAATCATCTTATTTTCCCGCAATCAATCAAAAATATCTTAAACCATTTATTGGCACGGATTGACTACCAATTCCTTTAAATAAACATACATGCCATTACAGATAGTAACTCATATGACCATAGTCCAGTCAACCAGAAAACGAATAAACTAGTTTGACTTTGAAACCTATCTCAAATGCGCAGCTTTATCACTAATATTTAATACAGTAGAATAAGAGAGGCACTTTTTTTCCTAGCAATTGAAAGCGGGAAAGAGATAAGAGATAAATAAATAAATTCATCACAAAATTTATATCAAATAACGTCAATTTTATTTATAAAATATTTATAACAGCAAATTTATATTGGTTTATTTACAATAGAATTGGTAGATAACATTTCAATATAATACCTTCAATGTAGCATGTACGCTAATAATGTCATTTTCTTTCAATTACGTATCTTTCGCTAATTTTTTAGTAACCATCAATTTTGAAACCAATTCAATTTGGGAAAAATATAAAAATTATTTTACAGAAGATTTAAAAGAAAATAAATATTATTAATATTATATACGGTGGTTCTGAAACATTTTATGAAACTTCTATCATTGGATTCACCTTGAAAAATTATTTAAGATAAAATTTGTTGTTTATTTATTCAAATATGAAGTATTATTATGGGAAACTTTATTAATAATACACAGAATAAAAAAATGCAGTATATAATACAATATAAAAGTAGCACGTAACGCAGTACGTGATAACACACACAATAATTGAAATAGTCTTTAGTTCATTAATAAGCACTGTAATTAATACTGTATATAAAACACTGAACAACTTGATGTGAAAACTGTCTATAGAAAAATGCGACTGGCTGTCGCGTCGGCTACTTCCGGACTGACCCCTTGCCTTGCACTAGAGAGAGTGCATCCTTCGGGACTCCTTGAGAGGAAGGGGACAGGGCCATAAAATAAGGGCCTCCTACAAAGCCATAAACATAGCTTTCCTTTCCTCACTGATGTAGAAGTGTGCATGTTGTTGTAATATTCCAACACCCTTCCTCAACGACACACACTCGTGGTAGATTACTGACACACTAATCCGCTCTTTTCTGCCAAGTTTTGCAACTTTAATTTTCCTAATGGCTTCGTTAGCATGTCGGCAACCATTTCCTCTGTAGGGCAATATTTGTAATCCATAATACCATTTTTCTTGATATCTCTGATGAAATGATATTTTATATCGATGTGTTTGCTGCGATTGCTGAATTTTCCGTTTTCAACAAGCTTCAAGCAGCTCTGATTATTATCTTCGTAAATAATCGTCGTGTCCTGCGCCTTTCGCTCGAAATCTTCAAGTAGATAGCGTATCCATAAACCTTCTCGAGTTGCTTCCGCAAGAGCAATGTACTCTGCATGGGTCGATGAATCGGCAACGCAGGTCTGTTTTCGACAGGCCCAGCTTATTGGTGAGCCATAAAACTGAAACAGGTAGCCGCTATTAGATTTTCTGTCGCTGCGGTTTTCCGCCCAATCTGCGTCTGCATAGCCAATTAGCCCTGAAACTCCTTTTTTCTGTCCTAAGCGAAGTTCGTAATTGACTGTGCCCTTTAAATAACGAGCGATCCTTTTTGCCTCGTTCCAATCTGCTTTTGTAAGCGACCTGTTATATTGACTCAAAATTGTCACACTAACAGCAATATCTGGCCTTGTATTCACCGCTAAATAGAGCAATGATCCTATTAATTGCTGGTACTTCTCGCTGTTCGGCATCGGTTCATCATCTTGTCTTGCTTTCAAATATCCTTGATCTAGTGGAATACGTGAAATTTTCGCATCCTCGAGACCAAAACGATTTAAAATGTTCCTGATATAAGTCGACTGCTTGATGCAAAAAATGCCATCTGCATTTCTTCGTATTTCCATGCCTAGATAATAACTTAGCATGCCGAGATCCTTGAGCTGAAACTTTTTACTCAAAAATGTTGAAACTTCATCGATTGATTTCACGTCCTTGGCTGCGATCAAAAAATCATCTACATAGACTATCAAATACACAATTTTATCACCGTTGATTTTTGTATACAAGCAGGGGTCTACAACGCTTGATACAAATCCATATTCTTTCAAATAGTCACTGAGTTGATCGTGCCAAACTTTAGCGGCTTGCTTTAATCCATAGATGCCTTTAATCAATCTGCATACATTTTCTTCTTTTCCCTCGATGTATCCTTCGGGTTGACTCATATAAATCCGTTCCTTTAGTGTTCCATTTAGAAAGGCAGTCTTCGCGTCGAAGTGCTTTACGACCATACCTTTTTGACCTGCGACGGTGAGAAGCGTACGAAAGGTTGCTTGCTTTACGACAGGAGCAAACACCTCGTCATAATCGACGCCGTATTTTTGAGAGAAACCTCGAGCAACGAGGCGAGCCGTATATCTCTCTACTTTTCCTTTTGCATTGCACTTTTTTGTAAAAACCCATTTGCAAGTGACAATGTTCTGCTCGCTAGGTCGCGGCACTGTTTTCCATGTGCCGTTTGATCGCAAAGACTCGATCTCTTCATCCATAGCCTTCTTCCAATTTTCTTTTTCAGACCTTGATAAGGCCTCCGAGACAGTACGCGGGTTGCTCTCTTCTTTAGCTAATTTTGCTGTAGCTACATACCTGTCTGGCGGCACGCCCCTATTTGACCTATTGGAGCGTCGAACCGCTGCGGGGTCTGCTGCAGGTATATGAGCGACCGGTGCGTACCCACAGTGGCTGCTGCTTGTCTCATCTGGAGTAATAAAATCATCGGCGT